GAGGGACGAGGGGATGGGGACAAATATGGGGACAAGGGATGGGGACAAGGGACAGGGATGGGGACAAGGAATGGGGACAGGGATGGGGACAAGGGACAGGGATGGGGACAGGAGAGGGACAGGGTCAGGGACGGGGACAGGGTCAAGAAGAGCCAGGGGTGGGGACAGGGAGAGGGGACAGGGACGGGGACAAGCGACAAGGATAGGGATGAGGGGACAGGGATGGGGACACGGATGGAGTCGGGGATGGGGACAGGGGACAGGGATGAGGGGACAGGGATGAGGAAGGGGATGAGGGGACACCAATGTGTCCGGGCTGGGGAGACAGAGATGGTGACAAGGGACAGGGGATGGGGACAGGGATGGGGACAAGGAGACAGGGGACAGGGCTGGGGAGGCTGGGGAGACAGAGATGGTGACAAGGGACAGGGGATGGGGACAGGGATGGGGACAAGGGGACAGGGGACAGGGCTGGGGACAGGGACAGGCTGCCCCCCCCCGCGGGTGACACCCCCAGCAGTGGGGTGACCCCCAGGTCCCAGCATCACCCCCGTGTCCCCTGTCCTGGGGGGGGGGAGGACAGGGGGACACTGGGGACGCTGGGATGGGGGGACAGTGGGACATGGGGACAGTGGGGACACCAGGATATGGGGATAATGGGAACACTGGGACACGGGGATACTGGGAACACTGGGATATGGGGGACCTTGGGGACACTGGGGATACTGGGAACACTGGGATATGAGGACAGTGGGACATGGGGACACTGGGATATGGGGTCATTAGGGACACTGGGGATACTGGGAACACTGGGATATGGGGACACGGGATACTGGGAACACTGGGATATGGGGACATGGGGACACTGGGATATGGGGGACCTTGGGGAGACTGTGACATGGGGACACTGGGGACACTGGGATATGGGGACATGGGGACACTGGGGATACTGGGATATGGGGACAGTAGGACATGGGGACACTGGGGATACTGGGAATACTGGGAACACTGGGATATGGGGACATGGGGACACTGGGACAGGAGGACACAGGGACATGGGGACAGGGGACACCGGGACATGGGGACATCGGGACATGGGGAAACCG